GGCGTGAGGCCACATCACATGCGCAGAAAGTCTACCATGAAACCCCCTGGCCCCACCCATAGCTCGTATCGCAGTTGGAGCTGGGACCACAGAGAGCCCAGGTACCCCACGTGAGCAGCCTGGAGAAGCCAGATAGGTCCCCTGTGCTGACCGCATGCTGGACGGCCGGCAGGATTCTGGGGCTCCCCCTGGTGGAGCAGCAAAGGGTTGCGGGCTGTGGTCAGTTGTTTGCTGCCAGGTTGGGTGTGGGTGCCAGCACCGGGCAGCGCTGCCTGCTCCCCGCCCTCTGCCATTCCCCCTTGGCTGGATCCACTGTCCTCCAGGCACAGAGCCCCTTCTAAGCCCTCAGGCCCAGGGGTCGTCCCCCTCTGCCCTAGCTGACCCATGATGGAACGCTCCACTTGGGGGCTCAGCCTGGCTCGGGGCACACCCCCAGGGAGCCGAGACCTCGAATTTCTCCCTGGTCACCAAGGATGTGTCCTCCATGTTGTGCCAGTGCCCCCAGGCAGGGTCTGGCATCCCGTGCCAGTCTGCCAGTGGCTGATACATCCTGCCCTTCCCTCATTTCCTTTCTGTGCTGAATAATGTTGTCGCCGCCCCATCAGCACCAGCAGCCTTCAGCTTGCCCACCGCTCTCACAAGGCCACCTGCCGGCTGTGGGTTTGCCCCTTTGGAAAGGCCACGGACATGCCCCTTGGAACTCTGGAGCCATCCTCCATGCCAAGCTCCCTTGGTGCATACATGCCAGTGGTGAACTTGTGCCCTGTCCCTCAGGCCCGCGGTATCCCCAGCACCTAATGGGATGGCAGCAGCTGGATGCCAAGCCAACGACTGAATCTGGTGAGTGCATTAAAGCCACGTGCGGTTGGCAGACAGCCCTGGGCGCAGGGCAGGTGCGCTGAGAGGGGCTCCGTGGCCTGAGTCTGCACCTCCAGCCTTGTGCGGTGGACAAGCACGTGGCGGGTATCCTGCAGGCTGAGGTGTCCACGCTGGGCACTGGGCAGGAGGACACAGGCAGTGTCTGTGGCAGAGAACACTCTGCAGGATCCCAGGAAGCCCAGGCAGCCGTGCCCATGCCTCCCCGAGTCTCCCCCTGCCCCGCGCACTCGGAGCCACAGCCGGGACCTGCTGGCCCTGTTTCTCGGGCATATCTCAGCACTGTCTACTATGTTCATCTGCACTCAGGGTGGAGGTAAACACCAGCCTCTCCCCAGGCCTTGCCTACCTGCACCGGGCCTGGTCCTGGGGTCTGCAGCTCCTACCTGCAGGGGGAGGGCGTTCTGGGGACGCTGGGTGCACCTGAGCAGGAGGCGACGCGCCCTGGGCTTCTCAGGGAGTGACCATGGCCCCAGGCCCTCGTGGACTCCCAGTGCATGGTATCACAGCTGCCCAGCCTGTACCCACAGGTGGGCATGGACGCCTACACCTCAGCGTGCGGTGGTCTACGTGCCCAGCCTGGGCCCACAGGGCAGGCCGACAGAAGCCTGTAACCTGGGGTATAGCCCCTACTCCCGGCCTGACCCTGGTCCCCACACTTCCCACTCACAGCCGGCAGGGGACCTGCGGCAGCTGGCCCGCGCACATGGGGAGCTGGCAGGAAGGCCAGGGCCCTGACCCAGGGCGCTGGGCCAACAGCCATCTGTTTGCACTGGATGGGTTTTTGGGTGTGTTTCGCTCTTTCTTGCAAAGGAGGACTTGTGGGTCTGGGCGCCAGGGGACAGGCTCGAAGAACTAAACTAGCTGGTCAGGCACAGCAGGACGTGGGGTCGACCCCCATCTCCTCCGAGGCCTGCCACGGCGTCTCAGCGCGGTGTCTGCTCACAGGCTGTTGGAATGCCGGCCTCATTTCCCAGAGCATCCAACCTAGCGGGGACAAGGCTCTTCAGTCCCGGTCCTGGCCCAAGCATCCAGCGTCTCCCACAAACAAAGCAGCCAGGAAACACGTCGTCAGGTGCACTTCCACCGCCGAAAGAGAATGAAACAGCACCCACTCAGCTGTGAGGGGGAAGATGAGGGAGTCGGGGTACCTTGATGGTGACCCAGCGACTGTGCATAGCACCGCCTCGTGACCGCACACAGTGTGACGGTGGCCCAGCGACTGTGCACAGCACCGCCTCGTGACCGCACAGCGTGGCGGTGGCTCAGTGCCCTGGCTAGCCTGCATTAGCACCGTAAACCTGCTGAGAAGGCACTCTCCTGTGAGGAGGTCCCGCCCTGAGCCGTTTCCTGCATGGCCTCTCCCACTGTCTCTCCTGCTGGGCAGAGGCCAGGCGTGGTCCAAGTGTTACTGGTGGAATTGCCCTCGACGTGAGGACCACCCAGCTCCAGGTCTGCTCCCACGGATCCACAGCTGGGACTGACTCGGCAGTTTGTGTTTTATGTTAGTGACTGTGCGACCTGCACCTGACGCTGTAACCAAGGGACCATCCTACCGCCGTCAGCCGACTACAGGACCACTGAGCGCCCGGGCTCTGGCTGCGGAGCCTCAGACCTGGAACGGGACGCCTGCTCCCCTTCCCTCGGAGAGCTGACTGCATTTGCTCACGCCAGGCAGGGGGCCGTCCCCTGAATGCTCTCCACTCCAGGGTCCTGTCAGACACCTGGCCCTCTGGGGGGCACAAGCGGTCCCGGCCGCTGGAGGGCGAGGAGGGAGGTGAAGACTGCCGCTGTTCAGAGCACAGGTCAACAGTCGGGGTGCAGGCGAGCACAAACGGCCCCACTGCGCTGCGGCAGACGGGCCTCCCCAGGGTGGAGGTGACCTGGGGGCTGCCGCAGGGCTGTGTGAAGCCGTCTGGCTCCAGGCTCACAAAGCACAAAGCCGTTTCAGACACGACGCAGGCTCTGTGGCTCTCTGTTCCCCGCTCCAGGCCCTGGCTCATAGCCTGAGGTGTTTAGGGATCTGGGCGGCAGAGGCGTCAGCCCGGAGCCACAGGAACCGCGGGAGCTGGGGGGAGGGTGTGCAGACACCCATCTGCTGCCAGCCAGGTGCCAGCCTCGGGCAGGGGCCTCCAGCGTCCCCCGCTGGCTGTGTGATCCTGAGGCTCCTGCTGGGAGGCGTGGAAGGAACACAACCTCAGTCCAGGGAAACTCGCTGCTCCCACTCAGCCCGGCTCCAGACAGGCTCGGCCTGCAGACAGCGCCACCTGCAGGATTCCGAGGCTCGGAGGAACGATGCTAGCAGAGGGAACGGCTTGCCCTGCGCTGCTTCTCGGGCGTGGGACCCCGCGCAGGCACAAGCCGAGCCGCAGTGCCCTCTGGCGTCCAAAGCCTTCCCCTGCTTGCCAGAGACGACAGCAGGGCCTGCGGGTCACCAGGCAGGCCTTCAAGGGCCTCTCCTTTCCCACTGAGTGGTCCCTGGCAGGGTGGGGAGACGGGCCTAAGCTCAATCACTAAATCACCCACACCCTCCTCATCCCCTTGTCCCCTCAGCCAAACCAGGCGTTCACTGCCAGGCCGCCTGCCTGTCACCCAGCACAGTCTGGCGGGCCCTGGACTGGAAAACTCCAGCCCAGTACACAGGGAAATGTTCTAGAAGGGGACATGTCCCAGGGCACAGAGTGGGCTAAGTCCTCATAGACTGGAGAAAGTGCCTGTGACAGTGAACCCCGTGACACCTCCTGCTGCTTGGGGTCACTTGTCCTCAGGTCTGCCCACAAGCTGTGTATACTCGGCCTCTTCCTCAATGTGCATGCCAGCACTGTGACGAGGCCTCCAGGGGGATGGAGGAAGGGACAGAAGGGAAGCCACAGAGATGCCTGCGCACACCTGCTGGGGAGATCCGGGGAGCTGGCACGATGGCACAGAGGGTGACCCCGGCCCCCCACACTGCACACCAGCGGGGAGTCCTGGCTGCCCAGCTGCAGAGCCCGCTCCCTGCTACCACACTCGGGCAGCCGCACAACAGACGATCAGGATGGAGCCCGCCCAGAGCCAGCCACTGCAGCCACCTGGGAGTGAACCAGCAGAGGGAAGTTCTCTCTCTGCCTTATAAATAAATCCAGAGCAGAAACAAACATCTAAACCAACCCAGGAAATGAGTCAGGACCGGCTCCAGGCTGGGAAGTTCCACGGCGTCGATGTCCGTGAGGGCCGCGTTTTCCCACTGACCAGTCAGGGCCCTCAGGGTGACAGTGTGGCTCACCCTGCTGGCTTCGGGGAAGACACGGCAGTGTGAAGGTGAGGGCAGACTGCTGCTCCTGCGACAGAGGCGGGAGACCCACCCACCCAGCCCAGCCCAGGCCCTGCACCCACACATCATGACAGAGGCGGGAGACCCACCCAGCCCAGGCCCTGCACCCACACATCATGACAGAGGCGGGAGACCCACCCAGTCCAGCCCAGGCCCTGCACCCACACATCATGACAGAGGCGGGAGACCCACCCAGTCCAGCCCAGGCCCTGCACCCACACATCATGACAGGCGGGAGACCCACCCAGCCCAGCCCAGGCCCTGCACCCACACATCATGACAGAGGCGGGAGACCCATCCACCCAGCCCAGCCCCTGCACCCACACATCATGACAGAGGCGGGAGACCCACCCAGCCCAGCCCAGGCCCTGCACCCACACATCATGACAGAGGCGGGAGACCCATCCACCCAGCCCAGCCCCTGCACCCACACATCATGACAGAGGCGAGAGACCCATCCACCCACCCAGCCCAGGCCCTGCACCCACACATCATGACAGAGGCGAGAGACCCACCCACCCAGCCCAGCCCAGGCCCTGCACCCACACATCATGACAGAGGCGGGAGACCCACCCACCCAGTCCAGCCCACCCAGCCCAGGCCCTGCACCCACACATCATGACAGAGGCGGGAGACCCACCCACCCAGCCCAGCCCAGCCCAGCCCAGCCCAGGCCCTGCACCCACACTTCATGACAAAGGCGGGAGACCCACCCACCCAGGCCAGGCCCTGCACCCACACATCATGACCATGCGTTTTCCTGTGCCACCAATACTATCACGTAATAGTACACAATACAGAAGTCAAGATGCTTTATGTGAAAACGTTTTATTATAAAAGTCGTACAAAGGAGGAGCAGGGACTATAAAGGAACAAGGGCTCCATCCACTTCCCACCCGGTCAGGGCTGTGCGGTGGGGGGCCCTGCCCTTTGCCCGCCCTCTCCCCCCACCCCAAGGTGTGGCGCTCACCACCACCTGCCAGTGAGCACACACACCTGCTCCCAAGGTGCTCTAGGCCCTGGCAGTGCGTGCCCATCGTGCTGCCCCCACGCCCCAGACAGGAGCATCCGCAGAGCCCGAGACAGTCATTTCTGGGCACTTCCTGGACCAAGCCAGCTGCCCCCTGCTTGTGCTTCTGACTGGTTCCTGACCTGAGCCGCTGAGTGGCCGGCTCAGCAGCTCGGCATGTTTCCCACTGGGGGCAGCAGAAGCAGCACAGCCGGGCCTACCTAGGAGACAGGCGAGGCGGACCTGCTCCTCTCTCCCCGGGTGACATGCCAGCCCTGAGGATGAGCAGGTGACAGGGCCACACAGGAGGCACCGTGTCTTGGCTGGCTGTGTCCTGGGCCGGGGTTGCACACTACACGTCCAGCTCAGCGTCAGCCGTGAGGGATGGGCGGGGCTTCAGCAGAGCAAGGGCCTGTCCTCCCTGGGAGGGTGGAGCTGGGAAAGAAGCCCACTCCGGGCTCAGGGGTTGGGAGTCTGCAGAGGGGTGGAGCCAGAGGGCAGCCCCAGGCACCCTGGAGCCCAGGCTGGCAGCAGCCGCACAGGTGTGGGTGACCCTGTCCCCACCAGGTCAGTCTCCGGCCCCCTCCTCTAACACTCCCAAAGGCCCGTCCTGGCAGGGCTCTGTTCCCTGGGAAGGAAGCACTTCGGCTGGGGCACCCTTGCTGTAGGAGGTGAAGCTGGAGCGGGCTGGGGGTCTCCGAGCTGATCCTGCGTGGGCAGTGTGAGCAGTGCCAGTCATCTTCTAAAGGGCACATTCTGTAACAGAACAGAGGGGTCCGGCTGGGTGCGCTGGCCCCAGGGAGCCGCCGGGGGCAGCAGATACCGGCACTGGATGCAAGGAACCCACCTGACACTCACCAGAAGGTCCCGTCACAACGCCATGACACATGGCCATTCCTGCAGATGTGGATTCAGGGGAAAACCATCCCACCTACAAGGCCCCGCCCCAGCCACCACCAAGTCAGCACACGTGGGACTTTGGGAGTGTCTGGGAAACTGGAATTCTCCACACATAAAATAACCAGGAACACGTTGCTTTGCGTGGAATACAACCAATGTGCTGCCCTCTGGGCAGCCCGAGTTACACCTTCCCTTTCTCATGGCTGACCTGAGGGTCCGGAAGTGTGAACCCATCCGTCAGTCTGTAATAGACGATCGTCGAGTCTGACTCCACTATGGCCAAAGTGAAGGACATTGGCAAGTCCGGGTCTCCCCGCAGCTTCCGAGATGCCTTCAAGATCTCCCTGATCCTGCGAACACACACGTGAGAAGTCAGCCTCCCACGGGGTCACCAACCACCACCTGCTACCGTCCCTGGGCAGGGGTGGGCCTGCAGGGTGGGCTCACAGGGTGTCCCCCACGGCCAGGAGAGGGTGGTCACAGTTGCCCACCATGGCCTGGGGGACAGTCCACATACCGAAGTGCTCCAAGGCAGGGTGCCTGGGCTCCCAGTCCTCAGACCGACTGCTCCTCGCTCCCGAGCACCCCGCCTGCACCCAGGGCAGTCCCACTGAGGGCGTCACAACTGGATGAGTGTCCTCCCCTGCCCAGGGCCCCCACGGCCTCGCACGGCTCCCCACTGCAGCAAGGGACAGGGTCCCGGGCCCCAGGCCCTGCCTGGCAGAGGGTCTCCCTTCTAGACCCTGAACTGAAAGAGAACCCCGAGGTGGGACACTGCAGCTCAGCCTGGACTCCGCCTTCCTCGGGGCCGGAGGGGCCCCATCCCATCTCCAGGCCACAGGTGTGCAGAGGCCAGAAGTGTACCAGGAAACCAAGAACACTACACGTGCGAACACCCTAAGGTACTGAGGAACACGCTACCTTGCTTGGGGGGGAAAGGTCAGCCGAGAGTGATCAGACGAAAACTCCCAGCTACCAATGGAAACCCCAGAGCAGACATTCTGGCATGTCTCACGGTGGAGCAAATGTTGCAGAAGAAAAAGTCAGAGAAGCTAAACTGAGGCACGAGGAGAAAGGGCGTCAGCCACATGGAGGTCTGTGTCCACTGCTACCGGCGGGCAATGGTATGTGACAGGGTCCCCAGCGGGGGTGCAGAGTGGCCTCGGGCTGTGGCCAAGAAGCCACTAGAGACACCTGCACCAAGACACCGGTGGGCGCAAGGAGCCCAGGGCCCAGGGCCACTCCTGCTCTCAGCCTCGGCTAACGCAGGCCTGGGAGGCAGCCATCACGGGGTCTCTCCCCGACTGGAGTTCCCAGCTCCTGTCGCCCATCCAGCACAGCCCTGGCTGCTGAGGTTATCTGGAGATGTGAGCAGTGCATGGAGGACGTGTGTGTGCGTGTGGCGTGCTCAAGTCTACCTTCCAAAGAAATTGATTTAATATTAAAGATATAAACAGCTTGTATAGGCTGCCCACCCTGAACTAACTTTTCCTACACCGATGGACAGCAAGAAACAGCCCAGGACTGCTTGACATCTGAACTGCTCAGCCCTCTGCTGTCAGCACCCAGCACCCAGCCTGGCGGTGCTGCCCGGCTGCACGCAGAGCCACCCGGTGGGCGAGCTCCTCCAGACGGCACTGACAGATGTGTGAACAAGCCGTGGACAAGAAGGAAACCCCTCAGGCCAACTCAGACCCGTCCTCCACCCCTCGAGGCAGATGCAGCTTAAGGCAGCATCTCCACAATATGTGTGTGTGTGTGTGTGTGTGTGTGTGTGTGTGTGTGTGTGTGTGTGTGTGTGTGTGTGTGTGTGCGCGCGCACGCGCGTGCCCTCTGCTTCCCAGCCTGCTGTGGCTGTGTGTATACACAGACATTCCCTCCTGTGTACTGAAATTCTGGATAGAAATTTCCATCTCTGCTCTTTCCTCTCACTCCATTGACACCTTGTTTTGGAGCTGCTGAGAATAAACAGCAGAACACTTTAGAATTCCCTCAAACGCCCTGTGGGAACCCCTGTGGGGTGGAAATTACCCAGAGCGGAGGAGGCAGAGGGAAGCCAGGTCATGGCGCTGTGTGAGGCCCCACCCCGGCCCTGGAGGGCTGCGTGCCACCTGCTCACGTCCTCCGTCTGCTATAAACCAACCGGAACAGCTCAGCACCACAGACGGTGGCCACACTGCACTTGCATGCCCAATGCAGACTCAACCCAGGGCTGGTTGGCTCTGTGCTCGGGGGACCCACAGACCCCAGGGCTGATGCCCTAACACCCATATCATTCAGTCCCCCACCTATGAAGCCAAGCACACTGCTAATGAAAGGTCTCCATGGAGGACGAGGCATTTTCACTCATACCACCCAGCAAGCACAACAAACAGCTTTCTTTCCAAGCCAGCCCTCGGCCCTAGAGTCACCATGAGCGGTTATGCTGTGTGCCACAGGGACCCCAGTCTCACATCCATGTGTGTGCCCCCAAGCTTCCCGGGAAATGCAGGCACGAGCCGCTTCCAGTAGCCGCTTCCTACTGGAGTCCAAGCAAGCTTTACAAGCGTGGGAAGACAGAAAGCAACGCTTCTGGTGTGGAGCTGAGAAATCACCCCTGGCTTCTCACCCACGCGCTGCGCCAACTTCCTAAGCCCACGTATTTTGAGGAGGGGACCCCACATGGGCTCCAGGACACAGGGAGGCACTGGCCTTCTTCTCTTCCTGCACCCACAGAGGCCCCAAACGGCAGCATCTCCACGACACACCTAGCACCCTGCAGTGTGACACTGCGGTCCACACCGCGAGCGCAGGCTGCTGCCGGAGCCGTGCGCCTGTGAACGCCGGGACAGACAGCCTGTCAAACAGCCCGAGCAGTGGGAGCTGTCGGCCCCGAGCAGCACAGCAAACCGAGTGTGCCAGGCCTTCTGTCTGCTCTTGTCTGTGTTATTTCACTATAAAATCTAATAAGGAATGTGGATTTAAAAGCAACACACAAAACAAACTGAGCCATTAGACTCACAATGTATCATCCCAACCACTTCTATTTAAAGAAGCAAACAGCTTGGACCAACAGGGCTGGGTAAAGCTTAGCTGCCAGCCAGAGAACACACTAAAGCAGCACCACAGCTGGCACCTCTAGAACTTTGAAATAGTTCTGGTAAAAACAGGATACCACTTCCACTTTGTTGGCTTTATTCATTAGTATTAAATTCAAATAAATTGCAAACAGTAGCTGCTGTCCCAGCAGTTCACAGTAACGCTAGGTGGATAATATCTGTCACAGTAACTTAAAAAGACAAAGGACAAGTTTTGAGGAATAAACTAAGCACTTGGCAACTCCGCGAGTAAATCCAGACGCTCGATGATCCAAGCTCAAACCACCGCAGTCCACTGTGCTTCTTAGGGTTCACACAAACAGGTCTCGTTATGAAGCGGACACAAACGCACCTCACGGCAACCTGCAGTGGTTTACACAACCAGAGTGGAACCTGCTGCCCAGGCCCTGGAGCACGCAGCACTCCACAAGGCCGGGAGGGGGGCATCCGGGTCCAGCACAGGATGACAGTAGACTGCCTGGGGACACAGGGACATGTTGGAACGGAGGCCCTGAGAGCTTGGGGGCTTTGCAGTCCAGTATACTACAGCTGGATCAGAAAGGGGGCTGAGACAGGACGGCTTAGAAGCAGGGATCCAGAGGGCACGTCGGGGTCAGGCCAAGGTGCCAGCTCCATGGGAGACCAGGGCATTGCCTGTCACCCCCTGAACCTGGGCTGCAGTCCCCACTGGAGAGCGTCTGGGAAGGCAGGGCCACATCAGGCCACAGCACCCATGAGTTCACGTGAGATGGGGCCGGGATGGAACTGACCAGGCAGCTGCATCCACTGGCATGTGTGCTGGCTGCTGCAAGTGACGGTCCTAACCTGATGTTGCACTAGCTGGCACACACCAGAGTCAGCTCTGAAGTTATCCCACGCGCAAGGTTTCTTGGAGGACTCCGGGACTGGAATGCTGAACTCAAACCCTGGCTCAGGGAACCACGGGCTGCGTGGCTCTACCTTGGAGCGCCTATGTCGGGACGGGGGTCCTCAGGTGCTGATCCTGTGCAGTGGACAGCATGTCCAGACACACAGGGCCCAGCGCGTGTGGGCCAGCAGAGGGCGGCAAGCGCCTCATCAGGTGGGGGGAAGCAGGACACGGGGGCCCACTTCACGGGCTTTGCAGCAGATACACCGAAGCGGACCTGGTTAGAAGACGGACACTGGGAGCATTCCCTCAACCTCGGCAGTCTCTGAGGTGACAGGCCTTAGTCGTTTCCACCCTGGCTCTGATACAGTCGGAGGGCCAAGAGCTTCCCTCACCCACCCCTGTGACACAGGAGGAAAAGGAAAGGGCAAACCGGACACCCACCCCCTCTGCACCTCGGCCCCTGCTCCACGTAAGGCCATGCATCTTCATCCCCGTCACACGTAAAAATAAAAAGGAAAAAACCCACCACTATGGAGCGTACACATGGAAATAACCAGTCACAGTAGCTCTGGCTCGAGGGCGTCCAACATGTCATGTCCCTCAGTCAGAGACAAGGACCTCAGCGGCCGCGTTGGTCTCCTCGTCCTGCACCCCTGAGCCTCAGCCTCGGGGGGCTAGGAAACTGTGGGCACTCCCACTGGCCCTGAGGGCGCTTTGCCGAGTCCCACCCTCCCCTCCGGAGCCCGGCTCCTCGGGCGGCACACGCGTCAGGATGGATTCTCACGTGGAGAAGGGCCAGGGTTAACCTGACACCTCTCACACCGTCGAAGACGAACGCGCTCTGAACCCGCAGTGAGACACTGAACAATTTCTAGACCTCTAGATAAGTAATACTTCTTCAGCCAGATGCAAAGATGGGGAGTAGAAAAGAGATTTGATTATTTGTAAATCAAGTGCTACCCTTGATTAAAGATCCTTGCAGACACAACAGTGCCCGAGACGCCGGCATCCCAAGTGAGCCCCGACTGCCCGCTCTCCTGCAGCCCCCTCCTAGGGCCCGGGAGGGCAACAGAGGATGGCCCAGGTGGCTGGGCCCCTGCCACCACACGGGAGCCCCAGACGCAGCTCCAGGCTCCTGGCTTCAGCCTGGCTCAGCCCTGGCTGCGTCAGGCATTTGGGGAGTAAACCAGCGCATGTAAATTTAATGATTCTTTAATCTTAAAAGAAAAACCCACAACACAGTAGAAGACAAAGGTACAAGCTGGAAATCACACCAACCAAGCACCACTGTGTGACTCCATGAAGCCCTTGGGACGCGGGTTACGGCACGGGGGTCAGGCTGTCCGCCACGGCAGCACGCCCGCGCTACTCACCTGTTGTGGCTGAGGGACGCCGTGACGCGTGTGGGCACAATGGTCTGCAGGCCCTCACCCTGGATCTCCGTGCCCACCAGGCAGAGGAGCTGCAGCTCGCGCAGGCCCACACAGCTCACCTCGTGCCAGCTTTTACCTGCCAGGCACACACAACACAAGCTCAGATGACCCGCTCACGCAGGGACACAGCCTCCTCTGACCCTCTAGCTTTTCCCATCACCAATGTCACGACAGGCAGAAGCTACGAAGCTACCTGGGCAAATCCACAGCGAGCGCATGGATGCTACTCAGCGTCCAACGCCCCGGACCCGCGCCTGCCCCATGACGCAGCGCCACCCACTCACTCTCCATGAGGTCCAGGTAGACCAAGAACGCCACGTGCACCTGGGCGGCGTCTCCAATGCCCAGCTCCATCATCTCCACGTACTAAAGGAGAAGGCAAAGCCAAGGGTCAGACGCCGAAGGCAGACCCTCATGCAAGTACTCACTAAACACAGACCGTCCCGAAAACTCTTCCAGGAAGATGGGATGGCTCTCCTGGAGCTGAGGGGCTTGGACACGAGGGTACCTCTGACACCCACCCCCAGCATCCACTCCCCGTGGGTCAGGCCCATGGCATCTACTCTGTGGGTCAGGCCCCGCGGCGTCCACTCCCACCCGCGGGGTGGGGCCTCCATTCCCTGCGCCCCGCCGCCGTCCGGGGGAGGCCTCCCCAGCCGCCGCGCGCTGCTCTCGCGCCGGCTGACCTTGGGGTGCGAGCCGATCCAGGCGTCCTCGGGGGCCCAGGGGCGCGCGGCCTCGCCGCCCAGGCCGCCTCCCGGTGCCGGGGCTCCCGGTGCCCGGCCGCCCCCGCCAGGCCGCCGCGGGCCGCCGCCGCGCTCCTCGTCCTCGTCCTGCATGGCGCGGTGCTCCCCGACCGCACGGCCGGCTTCCGCCTCCGGCGCTGGTCCGCGTCCGGCTGGCAGCCGGGGCCGCGCGCAGCGTTCCGCCTCCCCGTCTCGCCGCCCCGGTGCCCCTCTCTTGGCGGACAGGCCTGCGGGTCCCGGGAAGGGAGACGTGCAGGCGGAGCCGCGTGTCCAGGGGAGGCAGCGAGCTGAGGAAACGCGGGCGCCGCGCGCAGCTCGGGAGTGCGAGGGGGCGGCGCGGGGCCGACGGCCAGAGGGAAGCGCCGGAAATCCCGGGAGGGAAGGCAGCCTGGTGCTTGTGGGGAAGGGGGCGGGAGTCGCGCGGGCTCTGGGGAGACCCCGGCCCCTCGCCGCACCACGGAAGCAGGCTGGGGAGACGCGGGGTCCCACCGGGAGGGCTGGGGAGACCCTGGCCCCCTCGCCGCACCACGGAAGCAGGCTGGGGAGACCGCGGGGTCCCACCGGGGAGGGCGGAGAGCCCCCACCCACACCCTCCGTTTCAGAGGAACCCTGGCCACCCTCGTGACACCACACCCACACAGCTACTAACCAAGTTGAGCTGAAAACAGGGCTGCTCCCCCCACCCAGGAAATGGCTCCCCGCTCAAAGGAGCTGGGAGAATTAATAACGCTAAGATTCACGTTCACGGAGCCCTGGACATGGTCCGAGGTCTCATAGAAGACGCTCCTCAGCAGTGGGAGGCGACCTGCTGTGAATCAGAACGCGGAGTCTTCATCCTTTCAAGGAAAATGAATTTATTATAGAGCAGGGTGGCAATGATCTCACAGATAACTCACAGGGGAAAGCAAAACCGGGTTTTTATAGTTAAAGTGAATATATAAAAACATGCTACGTGCACAACAGCAGGATGGTCACTGGTAGCCATCTGTTAATTCTAAAAGAATAACATCTCAGCAGACGAAGCACAAGTTACCGAGGTCAGCATGCCCCCAAACAGACAACATTAAACAGGCCAGAGGCTCTCAGCCATCCCAGAGCCTCACCACAACTGACACCTTTGCAGAGTGTAGTCATTGTTTTAGCTGATCCTTAGAGGCCTGATAGAAGAGCTTGGGGAATTCCTTTGCTGAGATGGTGAGGACCAAGACAAGGAGCAGCCCAGACAGTGTCAGGTTACAGTACCCACTGACATACCTGTGGGTCGGGTCTGGGGGCAGGCCAGGCTGGGCCAGTTCATAATATACACTGGCAGATCTGGTACGTGACCAGCCAGGCTGGGCCGCAGCACCAGCCAGTTCACATTAGGGCCAGGGCTGGGGGCTGGCAGGGCAGGATTGGGTGGCAGCACCCACCAGCACATGTGAGACCTGGAGTGGGGTGTGTGAGCCAGTAGGAGAGTTGTGGGGACTTCCCTGCTGGACCACTGCTCCTGGTGGTGAGTGTGAGAGCTGGGACTGGGGACCGACCAGGCTGGGCTGACTGGATCCACTGGTGCACGATTGAACAGAATAAGCACAGATTGGCTGGGCTTTGCTGCAGCAGCAGCTGGCACTAGGAGCACTGGGACTAAGACTAGGGCAAGTCCTATCAAGCTAGACTGCAGAACCACCTGGAAAGTGCAAAATCCAGGGTAGGGAGTGGATCCAGTAGGGAAACTGGGCACTTCTGTGATGGGCTGCAGCATCCACTGATGGGCACGGGAACCAGGACTCAGAGAGGGTCTGGCTAGACAGGCCGTGGCACCCGCTGACATGAGTGTGGGCTGGAAGGTGGAGTTAGGATTTAGCACCCAATGATGTGTGTGTGTGAGAGCTGAATGGGATATGGAACAGACCAGGCCAGTCCACTGCACATGCTGGCAAGCACAGGAATAGGGGCTGGGGGGCCGGCCCAGCAGGGGTTATTGGGGTTGCTCTGACTGGGTTTCAGCTCCTGGTGGTGTCACTGGAGGCCGAGTGTGTGTTGTGGGATTGGGCTGGGCTGTAGCGTTCATTGGTTTGTGTAAGAGATGGAATGGAGTTAGATCTTACCTGGCAATTGCAACTATCAGTGTGTACATAAGCTTATGTGGGTGAAAGAAATGTGCCGGGCCCCATAATGGTGGGTGCATACAAGAATCAGGTCTGGGGTCACCTCAGACAAGACTTCTTTGAGGGTCTCCCCAACTGAACTGCTAGATTCAGAGTTCTATCCGTGGGGCGAGGGGCAGGACCTGTCATCTGACTGGAGTGCCTGTGTCTGAACAGGCTTCCGCAGTGACTGAAGATGGAGTAGTGGAGAGCAGGCCCAGATGCACCTGGAGGACGTGGCAGTCCACTGGGGCCTGCAGAGGACATCTGACACCACGGCAGAGGAGGGAGGGCAGAACAAATTGGTCAACTACCCCAGCAAAGCTTGACAGCCAGTTTCTGGGCGAATGGAGACTCGGGTGGACTGTGTCAGCCAAGTATTGGCTGGATTTCTTCATCCCTGCATCTGTGAGACTAACAGCTTGTCAGAACTGCCCAAACCGCTTGACAGAACCCTCAGAGCATGCTCCACCCCAGGTGGCCCTTCCTCATCCCTGAGTCCTGAGACAACTGGGAGGATGGGTGTGGCTTCTCCCGTCTCCTCCCTCCCCCCAGATACAGGAAGAAGATAAAGAAGGTGTGGAAATAGTGGTCTTGCCCATTTTCCCCTAGTCGTGGACCCTTCCTTCCCTCACTAATAAACTGTGTGAACATCATTGAAAATAAAATCGAAAAAGAAGAGGGCTCAGAGCCAGACCCTGCCACGCACTGGATGCTGAGACCTGCAAGTAAGGATTTTAAAGTGACTGTTGTGATTATTCTCAGTGAAGTAAGAAAACATACCAGCAGCAGATGAAAAATATCAACAGAGAATCATTTAAAAAGCCAAATGGAAATTCTGGAACTTAAAAAATTGTGATTTCAGAAGACAAACATTTCACTGGGTGTGTTTAAGAGCCAAAAGGAAGTCGCAGAGGAGGAAGCAAGTGAACTTGAAGTTAGAGAGCCAGACGTCTCCCAGCGTGCGCCGCAGAACGGTTTAAAGATGGCTGGAGCTCCGCTGAAGCACGACGTCAGGCCCGTGTACACGCAAATCAAACAGGAGGAAAGAACGGGCAGGGGAAAAGGCCTCAGGAAACAACGGCAAACATTCAAACAGGATCACAAAGGTGGGAAAGCCTGCAAGCAGTGCTGGGAACACACATTCCAAATGTCCAGCTCTTCTTTTTTTTTAAAGTCTTATTTATTTGAAAGAGTGACAGAAGATCCTGCATGTGCAGGTTCACCACCCAAATGCGCGCACTACCCAGGAAGGGCCAGACTGAAGCCAGGAACTCCAGGAGCGCCGTGCGGGTGGCGGTGCGCGTTAGCAGGGAGCTGGCCGCGAAGCCAAGGTGGGACTCCAGCCCGGAAACTCTGAGAAGCGGGTAGGGGCGTCTCAAGGGTTGCCTGAACTGTGTCACAATACCCACCCCAATCTGTTAATAATGCCAGATAGACCCAGGCCGTTTGTGAATTTCCCTGGAATATGTCCCACTAGAAGGCAGTCATTAAGCTTTGCCTCTCTAAAGCAGCTGTTAAGCCCAAAAGAAGCCAGTGGTGCCAAAACTAGTAGGTTCATGGAAGCATGAAGCACTGACATGAACTCAAAAGCACTCCAAGTGGGTAACTGACGCTGAGCCCTGAAGACCCAAGTCAGCTCATGTGATGGTATTTCTAGAAGCATTAAGGGCATTTACTTATACATCTGAGCAGAGGGAAAATTTTATAAATCAGTAAAGAGATCTAGTAGGATTGTGAAAAAGCAACAAACATCTACAAAGGAAGGTTTTCAACAAGAAAGGGAAGGTGGTGATAGAAAAACTAAGTAGGATGAAGACAGATCATAAACTCAACCAAGAGATGAGGGCAGGCCTGTGGCAGCTGGGATTCTGTTGTTTGTAAAGACATCATACACGAAGCATGAATTTTAGTTGTTTCTGGCTTTAAATGTGATATTTTCTTTAAAAAATATATATATATTTCAAAGGTAGAGTTCTAGAAAGGAAGAGAAAGATTGACCTGCTTGTTCATGCCCTCGAATGACTAATGGCCAGCGCTGAGCCAAGCCAAAGCTGAACTCCCTCCACATGTGGGTCTCCCACCTGGATTAAGGACACGGAGGATCTGGGCCAGCTGCTGCTTGCCCAGGTGGATCAGCAGGCGCTCGATCAGAAGGAGAGCAGCTGGGACTCCAACTGGTACCCATATGCCAGTGTTGCAGGCTACAGCCTAATTCACCGTGCCAGGATACTGCCCCCACTGTTTTCTTAAAAGAATTGAGGAACAAAATCAGAATTTCTCCTGGCCTCTTTGCCAAGTGCTGAAAACAGAGCTCGCTGATTGTAAGTGGCTGGTGACGCACACCGAGACCCCAGGGACAGCCAGCCAACCTGGTGCTCTGGCAACAAAATGGAGATTGCCATGGCTCTTGAGAGTGAAATCAAGCGACAGCTGGGTGTTCCAGTTTCAGCTCCTGAAAAGCTAGGAGCTGCTCCCTCTCTGAATGTATTGGAAACCCGTGGCAGCTAGAAACAAGACGAGTCAGTAACCCATATCAAAGTCCCCCGAGGATGCTGTGTCCATTCAGGCTCCAGTCATCCAGCCCTTGCGTACTGATTTCTCAACTTGATACCCTGAGCCAGGCCATTTTATTCTTTAAAAACAGAACAAAAACCTGTAATGTCTAGGCACAGGTGTACTGACTCACTTAGTGCCTCAAGAGAAAAAAAAAAGCACCTTGAATTGTGATGCAAGCCCTTCATAAGTTACAGGAAAAGACAAGACTTTTCCGCGGAGCCGCTCAGGACGGGGATCCCAAACCAAAACACGCAGGCTGGCGAGCAAGCAGCATTTCGCCCAGTGATGGCAAGAGTGCTCACGGCTACTTCTTCTGCTTCTTCCATGTTCTGTGTTTCACGTGTAATGTGATGTTGATGCTTCAGGAAAGCATTGTATGTCCCTGTGTGTGCACGTGTCGGGGGA